AGGCCTCCTGGGGTAGCAGAGAGAGTGGAGGAAGGAGCCCGCTCCGCCCTGCGACTTCCCGGGCCTGTGACTGCGGCGGCTGCTCTGTGCGCGCCTCAGGGTTGAGCTGTGAGGTGGGGGACTTGCTGGGCTGTGGAGAGGGGCGCACAGGTGTGGCGCCGCGCCTGTCACGCAGGAAGCCCAATGCGGGACAAGATGCCAGGCCGAGACACGCGCTCCTCTGTCGCTACCTTTTCAGGCCTAAAAGACACCACGTGCCAGTGCGCAGGTCGCACCTGCACCCGGAAGGCGGGAGGCGGAAGCGGCTGCAGAGCTGCACGGCCGGACGCCCCAGGCAGGGGCGGCGCCACCAGAGGTGCTGGCAGGTGGCCTGCGCCACCTGCAGTGAGGCAGGGCGTGGGGACCGAGACGCGACTCCCAGCGCCCGAGCTGCTGGAATAATACGGTAGCAGGGCCCCAGTCGGGCGTGCGCTGGGAACTTTGTTCCCGATGACGGGAATGTTCTCAGGTCCGGAACGGCCAGCAGGCCTCCGCTCGTCTGACGATCGGGTTTTGTCGTTGGCGCCCGCGCCGCCGCGATCTAACCCGCGTCTTCTCTGGGGCGCTGCGGCAGCCCCGCCGGCCGCCGGCCTCGGGTGGGGCGGGGTGCTGGCGCGGGACGGCCCGCAGGGCAGGGACGACAGGCTGCTGCTTCTGACCCTGTCCCCGGCCAGCCCCGCGCTAGGAGCCGGGAAGGCCCGCGGAAGCAGACGTCCTGTTTCCCGACCTCGTGACGAGGGGCAAGCGCAGCCCGAGAGGCGAAGGGCGCAGCCCGAGAGGCGAAGGGCGCAGCCCGAGAGGCGAAGGGCGCAGCCCGAGAGGCGGCGCAGCCCGAGAGGCGAAGGGCGCAGCCCGAGAGGCGAAGGGCGCAGCCCGAGAGGCGAAGGGCGCAGCCCGAGAGGCGCAGGGCGCAGCCCGAGAGGCGCAGGGCGCAGCCCGAGAGGCGCAGGGCGCTGCCCCAGCGGCTCCGCCCGGACTGGAGGGAGGCGGGAGAGCACGGGAGGCGCCGCAGGAGCCCACGCCCGGCTTCTCGGGCCGGAGACCTGTCCGGACAGGCCGAGAGGAGAGGCGGGGGCTGGGGGCGCCCGCGGGGCTGGAGCCCAGCCAGCACGCCCGCAGGGAAGCAGAGAGGTGGCCCCGCTGGCACGCCGCGGACGCCCAGGAAGCACATCCCATGAGCACCTCTCTCTTTTTCCACCTGAAGACCCAATGAGGCCTAACAGGTGTTCCAGGGAAAGAGAAAATACATGAATTTCTTTCTAATCTGCACTAGACAAGTTCATTAACTGGTCACTTGTTCTCTTTTTAAGCCATGCTTCAATCCCAGCCATTAACCGTCTTTAATAAGATGTTAATATAAAGGTGGCTGAACCTCACAATTCTGACGGTTTATACCAGGGAACCACGCTCAGACAACACTTACATTTGTAGACGCTTGTGAGCTAGACTGACGGGCCTTCCTGCCTCTGCCCACGGACCTTCCAACGGTGCTTTGCCTGCACCTGTTGCCACTGAATCCGCGCCCTCCCCTGTCGTGTCGCGTTGTTTCAGCAGTGTGCACTGCTCCAGAGGGCTCCCGGGCCAGACTGTCCCTGCCAGTCTCTTGCGGGAACTGGAGATCTGATCTGATTCAAGAAACTGACAAAGGGGCCCCGAGGGCAGCCAAGGCTTTGATGTCCACTTTCTGCCTAGACTTTCGCCCCAGTTCCCCAACCCCATCGCTCCCCATCCGCTCCGGGCATCTGATCTCCTAAGCGCAGGTTTCCCTGGCGTGGAATTGCAGACTGCCGGCGGCTCCAGGACAGCCACAGCCACATCAGACACCCAGATAAGCACTCACGGACATCTACACTTTGGGGATCAAATTACAAATGAAAGAATAATTAGCACATTCCCAATTGCTCTTTCCTCCTGTGGACAACAGGCACATACATACAGTGCCTGTGCCGGCACGTGAGCCCCCATGTGAGGCGGGAGAGGGGCGCCTCCCTCCACGGTGGAGCAGCCAGATGTTTATAAATCAAGTCAGGAAAAAAGGAAAGAGCTGGGACCAAATCTAAGCGACTTAACATTTGCAGCATGCCTCTCTTTGCGGTTATTGTCTTATCAAAGATTTATATCTGTCTCATAAGAATCTTTAAATCTTTGGTCTCTTGTGAGGCCTAAAGCCACGAATTGACATTTCTTCAATGTAAATAGGAAATATTACACAATGAATTGAGGTCGGTTCTTAAAAAAAATTGCTTTCTTGACTTTTAACCCTGCAGTCTTGCTATTTAATTCTACCTGCAACTGCTCAGGAACAAGCCTGTGATTTCTTCAGTGTGACACTGGGCTTTGAGACAAACCATCCACCCCTCCAAATAGTGCCCCAGGTGTGCTGATGCCAAGTCCAAACAGACCCCACAGTTGCTAGGGGAACCAGGTTGGGTCTGGTGACAGTCACAGGGTTGGGCGTGTGTGGCAGTCCCTGCCCATAGGAGAGCCCAGCGCCAGCTCTCTAGCGGGTCCGGCCCCTGGCCCTCGGGAGACCTTCCCCAGGGAAACGGTCAGTGACAGGAGCGGGGATCCCGGCCAGCCCCACGGGGTGCTTAGACACAGACCTCTCTCCAGGCTCCATAGACCCTGGCAGCAAGGCCAATGCCAGCCTGCAGCCCTGGTGCTGCTGAGGACACAGAGCCCCGAGGACCCAGGCCACTCTGGCTCTGCAGCTCCACACAGCACAACCCTAGTGCCAGCGCCCCATCTGTCTGTGTCGCCAAGTCCAGTCAGGGGCCTGCCCAGGTGTGTGCCAAGTGGCAGAGAGGCAAGAGGAGGAGGGCGGGTGTGTGGGGTGTGACAGAGGAGCAGGAGGAAGGCGGGTGTGTGGTGTGACAGAGGAGCAGGAGGAGGGCGGGTGTGTGGTGTGACAGAGGAGCAGGAGGAGGGCGGGTGTGTGTGGTGTGACAGAAGAGCAGGAGGAGGAGGAGGGTGGGTGTGTGTGGTGTGACAGAGGAGCAGGAGGAGGGTGGGTGTGTGGGGTGTGACAGAGGAGCAGGAGGAGGGCGGGTATGTGTGGTGTGACAGAGGAGCAGGAGGAGGGCGGGTGTGTGGTGTGACAGAGGAGCAGGAGGGTGGGTGGGTGTGTGTGGTGTGACAGAGGAGCAGGAGGAGGAGGGCGGGTGTGTGGGGTGTGACAGAGGAGCAGGAGGGTGGGTGGGTGTGTGGGGTATGACAGAGGAGCAGGAGGAGGGCGGGTGTGTGGGGTATGACAGAGGAGCAGGAGGAGGGTGGGTGTGTGGGGTGTGACAGAGGAGCAGGAGGAGGGCGGGTGTGTGGTGTGACAGAGGAGCAGGAGGAGGGCGGGTGTGTGGTGTGACAGAGGAGCAGGAGGGTGGGTGGGTGTGTGCGGTGTGACAGAGGAGCAGGAGGAGGGCGGGTGTGTGTGGTGTGACAGAAGAGCAGGAGGAGGAGGAGGGTGGGTGTGTGGGGTGTGACAGAGGAGCAGGAGGAGGGCGGGTGTGTGGTGTGACAGAGGAGCAGGAGGAGGGCAGGTGTGTGGGGTGTGACAGAAGAGGAGCAGATGTACGGCAGGCTGAGGACACGGGTTGTGGAGCCAGCAGTGAGGACCACTCACGCTCCTCATTACGTTTCCCCCCCTCATCTCAGTCCCCCCTGGTCCCGCACTCCTCTGACCCTGCGGTCTGGACTCCGGGAGGCCGGGGAGGGCCGGGGCCGTAGGGCTGGAAGGGCACGAATATGGGCCCTCTGCCCTGGCTCACAGGGGACAGAGACCGCCCAGAAGGTGCAGACAGCGGGTCCAGGCCTGGAGTAGAGGCCTCTAGAAACTCTCATGGGGTAGCTAGATTGTGTGTGTTGTGCGACTGTGTGTATGTCCATGTGGGTGTGAGCATATGAGTGTGGGTGTGTGAGCCTGTGTGGAGAGTGTGTGTCAGCGTGTGTGTATGAGAGTGAGAATACATGTGAGTGTGTGTCAGTGTGTTTGTGTGAATGTGTGTGAATGTGACTGTGTGAATGTGTGACTGTGTGAGTGTGTGAGAGTGTGCAAGTGTGTGTGAATCTGTTACTGTGTGTGTGTGAATGTGTGTGCGTCAATGTGTGAGTGTTAGTGTGCGAGTTGTGCTGTGTGTGCGTATGTGTGAGTGTGTGTGAGTTCAAGTGTGTAAATGTGTGCGAGTGTGAGTGTGTCAGTATGTGTGATGTGTGAATGTGTGAGTGTGAATGTGAGTGTGACTGTGTAATGTGTGTGAGTGTGTGAATGTGTGTGCATGTGTGTGAGCATGAGTGTGTGAATGTGTGTGAATGTGTGAGTGTGAATGTGTGTGTGAATGGTTGAGTGTGCGAATGTGTGACTGTGTGTGAGTGTGAGTGAGTGTGGTGTGTGAGTGTGTGTGAGTGTGAGTGTGTAGGGGCACAGCGGCCCCTTCACAGGGAAGCTCGCGTAGGGTCAGCTTAGCTGCGGAGCCGGTTTGGGGGCGGCTGCGGCGGGGACGCGGGGCGCGCCCGTTCCAGGCCCGCAGGGTGGAGGTGCGGACACAGCTGCGTGTGCGTTCGGGGCGGGCCCGCCCGCCTTTCCTCCTCAGGCTCGCGTGCGGAGCAGGCCAGGCCTTTCCTCCTCAGGCTCGCGTGCGGAGCAGGCCAGGCCTTTCCTCCTCAGGCTCGCGTGCCCAGCAGGCCGGGCCTTTCCTCCTCAGGCTCGCGCGCCGAGCAGGCCGGGCCTTTCCTCCTCAGGCTCGCGCGCCGAGCAGGCCGGGCCTTTCCTCCTCAGGCTCGCGTGCGGAGCAGGCCGGGCCTTTCCTCCTCAGGCTCGCGTGCGGCCCGCCCGCCTTTCCTCCTCAGGCTCGCGTGCCGAGCAGGCCAGGCGCCGGGCCGCGCCCTGCTGAAGGGCAGTCGCCTGCACTTTCCTGCAAGCTCCGCAGGCGCCGGGCTGCCCGGGCAGGGCCGAGGCTGTCCTCACACTGTCCCTGCAGTCGCATCCCTCCCACCACGTCCTGTCCTCTTCCTCCCTGCCCCGCCCCGCCCCGCTTTCCGAGGCGATTTGTCTTGTCGCCTGTCCGTCCTGGCCCCGCTCCGGGCTCCCACCCGCGGGCGGGCGGAGCGGTGAGAGGCGGAGGCCTCGCGCTTCCGTCCTGCGCTGGGCTGAGCCTCGCAGCTGCAGCGCTACCGCGAGCAGGGCTGTTTCTGGATCCGAGGAGAGAGCGCAGAGGCCGGGGCGAGGGTATTTATAGAGCCCACCTTGGAGAGCAGGGATGCTCATATCCCTGGAACCGTCCCCCGCTTAGAAGTTTCTAAAGATAGACCAGTGTGGCATCTGGTATGAGACAAGGTGCACTAATTCTTCTTAAATCCACCAAGAATTTTCTTCTAATAAATGCCGACCAGTGCAACAAACAAACGTCTCCGAAAGCTTGCGCATGAAGCACTGTGCTCAGTGACATGCCCTGAGCCACGGAATCCTGGCACCATCTCCGTGAAGTAGGTGCTGTCATGCCCATTTTACAGATGGAGAAACTAAGACTCAGTGACGTGCCTAATTGCTCTAAACTGGTGGAGTTAGGATGCTGCTCACCCAGCTCAGCCTAAGAGACCGGAGGGGAAGGTAGGAGAATAGTGATGCTTGTCCTCAAATTTCAGATGCGTGTTATTATCCCCAAAGCTATCAGGTTTTCAGGCTGTATTTTGGTGCCTGCTGTGTGACTGCTGTTCTCTCTCAGCTTTTGCCCTGAAATCAGAGCAATTTCTCCAAATCAGGCACAGGAGCAAGCTTCTAGAGGGTGACAGATTCTCCTCCTGCCTCAAAGGCGGGCCCCTCCCTAGACATCTTACGAAACGCAGTCTCCCACTACCACCCGTCACTCCGGCTAAGTGAGGAAACAAAGCGAGCGGGTGGATGTTTGGTGGGCACCTCTCACGGGCCGGTGGCCATCTCTGCCTCATGAAACCCAGCGCATCACCCGATCTGTCTTACACCACGACAGCCTTACAGGGAAGCGTGTTCTCTCCTGCTCACGGATGAGGGCGCTCAGGCTGGGAGAAACTGAGTCACTTGCTCGGCGTCCCACAGGGCGTGCCGGTGCACCTATTGACTTCCTGGCTCTGGCTGCATCTGGACGCAGTGATCAGATTCGGTCCAGCGTTTTTCTGCTTTTGCATCGACTGCTCCACATCCTCCAGCGTCGTGTGTTCAGCGGGTGACAGGAATTGATGGCTGAGGTGACCCCAGCTCAGCCCGGAGCACACACTGCTTCCGGCCCAGGCTCGTAGGGCCTCACACGCCTCAGTGTTCGAACTTGAACTGGGTGGTGTGGACTGCCAGAGCCCCGCCCCTCTCTGGCTCTGGGGGAGCCAGGCCCCTCTTGAGGCCTGGGCAATGCGACCTCCAGGCACTGGTGGCCAGGGCATGGCACTTTTCCCGGGAAGGCAGAGCAGGAGGCCAGGATGGCAGGACCAGCCCGTGGGACAGGGAGCCCGTCAGCTGCAGTATCCCACTGAGAACGTCCTCACCTGTCCTTTCTAATAGCTCTTCCTTAAGGGCCGGTCCGAAGCCCCTACTTCTGGAAAACCCGTTTCTGTCTCCACCCACCACAGCATGTCCCCTAAATGGGCCTCCACAGTCCAACCTCCTAGCCAGAATTCCTTCTCCACCTCCCCCACTGTACCTACCCTCTGCTTGGTTCCCTCCCTCTCAAGGTAGCCCATCTCTTTTTCTTTTTTCTTCCTTTTTTTTTTTTTTTTGAGACAGAGTCTCACTTTGTTGCCCAGGCTAGAGTGAGTGCCATGGCGTCAGCCTAGCTCACAGCAACCTCAAACTCCTGGGCTCAAGCGATCCTGCTGCCTCAGCCTCCCGAGTAGCTGGGACTACAGGCATGCGCCACTATGCCCGGCTAATTTTTTCTATATATATTAGTTGGCCAATTAATTTCTTTCTATTTATAGTAGAGACAGGGTCTCGCTCTTGCTCAGGGTGGTTTCGAACTCCTGACCTTGAGCAATCCGCCTGCCTCGGCCTCCCAGAGTGCTAGGATTACAGGCGTGAGCCACCACACCCGGCCAGTAGCCCATTTCTTGATGACACAGCTTTAAGCATGAGAAAATTCTTCCTTTCTTTAAGCAGAAATATGCCCTTGGTGGCTGCCCTGCAGCGAGTCCTGCTGGAGACTTGGCCCATGGCAGTCTTAGGGTCTTTAAAGAGAACTGTCAAGGCCCCTCCAGGTCTTCCCTTCTCTAAGCAATACCTGGAGAACCTCAGGTGACATCATCTCCAGACCTTTCACCACCCTCTGAACATGGCTTTTCAATGTTACTTTTTAATATGAGGGAGATGGTGAACATGCATGCTTTTTCTGTAAGTGGTGAAAACAAAACCCCGTGTTTCCCAAATGCTGTGCCTTCAGAAGATGGTGCCAAATGGGGCTATTTGCAGTTGTATTGGGGCATGTATATTCCAAAAGTTTAAATGACATTATTGGAGCAGTAACTAGTACAACACTAGAATACTCTCCATTACCCTTGAAACAATGACCAACGCTCCTTAAAAGCAAATTCAAGCTAGGAAATATAGTTTTAAAACCCTTTTTTTGCTAACACATTACATCTGCCAGGCTGCAGGCCTGGCATTACAGGTTGTGTGCAGCACGCAGCGATCTGTCCCTGGGCTCAGGCTGTGATCTAAGTGAAGACGCCTGCAAAGCTACCCAAAGGCCAGGCAGGATTGTCAGGAGGCATTTGGCCTTCCAGGGAGAAGCAGGAGGCAGGGGCACGGGGAGCCCCGCTAGGGCTGCTGTGTTTGTGTGCAGTATCACAATTAACACTCAGAGCAGCACGGGCAGGGGGTAGTATCACTCTCGTTTTATAAGCAAGGAAACTGAGGCTCACAAAGATAAAGGCATAAGATTTCAGCAGGTCTTGCTATAAACACTCCAAACTCACACTTTCCTTCCACCCACTATAACATTTTTCTCTTTTTGTTTCCTGTGTGAAAATCTCAGGTCTGCAAGAAATTATGTGATCCCTGAGGCCCAGACCATGCCTTTGCCCCTCCCACCCTCACTCCTTCCCTGCCGGCAGGTAGGTGAGGGGAGGCATTCAGGAAAACGTGCTGACAGGAACCGCATCCGCCGCACGCAATGCACTGGTGTGCCCGGAGGGGACGCCAGGGTCATGCTTTGTGATTCTGCTGCTCCGGGGCTCTCAGACAACCGCCCCTCTCCCGCTGCGCTACCCAGTCCTCCAGGATGTACAGAGGAGGCTCTTTGAAGAAAGGTACTAGGTATTGTGGCATCATTATTATAATCACTTTTAAAATTCACTTATTTTACTTGGGCCCCTTTGTAACTCAGAAAGTGTCTCAAGCTAGCCCTGGCTTGAGACCTTCACCTCCCTACAGGCCCCTGTGCTCCTTGCTGTGGAAATGAGTTCCATTGTAGAGCTCTTGCACAGGATCACAACCAAACTCCACATTAGGAAGCAGATTTGGCAGTTGGCTCTGTTTTCCTTTGTGGGGAGTTTCTTGTCTCTGTCCTCAAATGACATCACTGGGACCACCTCAGTCATGCATTTGCTGTGACTTGGAGAAGGGAACAGGTGGGGGGAGAGAGTCCAGAGGTCTTGCATCTTCCCCAGCAGAGCAAGGGGCAGAGGCTGCCACTTGACTCTCCCCATAGTCTCAGTGGCGCAGGACAGGGGTTGCTAGGGGTGAGCCCAAGCTTCGCCCTGCAACTGAAGGAGGGGGCGGGGGGAGGTGCTCTAAGAACATAATGGTCCAGAGCAGCGGTTCCCAAGCCTTAGTATAAATCACGTTGACTAGGCGACTTGGTAAAAATGTTTGGACCTTGCCCTGGAGATCCTGCAAAAAACAAGACAACTCTCGTGCCGCTTACTAGGCCAGGCCGGTGGCGAGAGCTTTCCCGGTATCAGCTCGTTCCGTCCTCACGATTACCCCCAGCAAGCACTCCTCCTCCACTGCCCAGACAGAGACGGAGGGACAGAGAGAGGTTATGTCACAGGCAGAGCCAGGGTTTGATGAGTTCTGTTCTTCCTCCGTTCCTTGGTCGGAAGGTTTGTGAAGGGCCCTGGAAACTGCATCCCTAACAAGTGCAGGCAGTTTAGGGCCCACACTTGGCGAGTGTGAACATAAGTAATTCGAAAGCAAAGCTTTTGGAACTCTATGTTATTTTGAGCCTTAAAGGAAATGTGATTATGGGACCCGAGTCATGTGACAGGCAGCTGTAACCTTTGTTCCTCTGCTTATAGATTAGCCCTTCATCACCTGCAGTGCTCTGTGAAATGTAAAAGACTAAAGGGCACTAGAGAGGACCGGTTCTCTTGTCACCATTGATCTTCATTCTAGATTAACTTCCCTCTTCTCCTGCACAAAGATCTCATGACTGTCACATCCTCTAAGAAGGAATGTTAATATACTCTTTTAAGTTGGAAAAGGAAAATAAAACAAGCCATAACTGATCAAATTGCTGTAATCCATAAACTGGGCTTGTGTGGAAAATGTTGTAATCCTGTTTAATTTCTTTGTTTTCTGCCCTATATAAGCAAGACCTTAATTTCTCAGCTTCAGAGAAGTCACCCCACTCCTTTGGAGTCTGTGTTGCTCGGACGGCTATTCTTAGCTTTATGCTTCAAAAGACTCTTTTAAACTGGATTCTGATCCTTTCGATTATTTCAGGTTGATGACAGCTCAGGAAATTTCACCCCAAAATATGACTCCTTGGTATAAAGAGGATTTTGAATTAAAGGCCCTTAGAGATCAACAGACCCTAGAAGGGGCTTTCCCTCTATCTGCATAACTCAGACTGACCCATCAAAAAGAACAACTGACTTCCCTTCTCCTCCCTGTTATCTCAATATATTGCAGGAAAGAAGATCAAGAAGGCAACCAGACCTGGTCCAAATCATTTTAGGCATAATGCGTGTCTCTCAGGTTAACTTACAAGTCAGTCTGTTTCCCATCCATCCATCCTCCCTAGCAACCATTCATTGCCATAAACAGAATTAGCTGTATTCCTCATCTTTCACTCCCCTCTAAAAGAAGGGCATATAAATTTCTGGCCCTCATTGGGATGTTGGGTAATTACTCTGTGATTCTCCCTGTGCATACAGTAAATAAACCTTTTTCTCTTATTAATATGTCTTAATTGTGAGTTGATTTTTCAGTGAACTTTCGGGGGAAAGGGGAACTTGTCCCCACCTCGACAAGAGTCTGATCTTTGAGGCCAGAGATGCTCACCACAGCCCACCTGCCCTCACGCACCAGGGAGGTCCATTTAGTGGTTTGACCTCCTTTGTAAAATGCCCCAGTGGCCCCGATCTCCTTGGGATCCTACTCTGCTCAGTGACACAGTAGAGCTGGCAGAGAACAGTGAGTCCAGGAGGGCAAGTTGGGTTAGTCTTATGAACATTGCCTGCACTCAACACTATGGAAGGACCACCATCATCTTTGTCCACATCAGCAAACTGTTGCTGAACCACTGAGGGCAGAACTCCACAGGCACTGGGGACACGGAGAGGAATAAAACTGGGTCCTTGAATTTATGCTCAGTAAATGAAACCCACTCAAGTCTTTTGTCTCGCACAGCAGAAATGCTCAGCTATGGCCTGTGGAGTCCATTCTTTGCCTCTATATTTCTAATCTCACAATCTAATCTCAGACTCTTTGATTCATGCTTTATATGTTAGTCCAGGTTTTCCCAAATGTATGACATTTGCATATCCTCTGCAAGAGATTTTATAATATCTGAGCACCCCCTGCACAACCACTTAATCTATTTTAAATTGACTCATGCTTTTTAACTTATAATTGTTTTAAAAGGGAATTTTTGTGCAAGTTATATATTTTTCCTAGTGCACAGTACAATAATTCCCAAGCATAGGATCCAGCCAGGGATGAAATCTTATCGCTCAGCTGTCCTCATAGCCCCTGTGGAACAAAGGGAGAGATCACCAGAGTGGAATCCCGATTGAAGGAGGTTAGAACTGAGGGAGAGAAGCAGAGGTATCCTTGTGCCAGGCATATTCAACTCAAGCCCACGTCCCAAGCTTTTGGAAGCACTGCTTAGGCCACACTCTCCAGCCTGTGCTTTCTAGAACAAGCTATGCTGTTCTGCTTCTCTGAGTCTTAAAACACCCTGTTTGCTCTTCCTGAGGTCCTTGGCCTGGTCTGCCCAAAGAACTTCACTCTTCCTTGAGATGTGGCTCCATTGTGGACTCTTGGTGATGCCATCCTGGTCACCTCCAGACAGAGTTGTTCTGCCCATTCTGCTCCCAGAGCACTTTGTACATTTCTCCATGCTCTGTTAGGAAGGCAAGGACTGGGCAGAGACACTGGTGGTCATCTCTGTATCCCTGGTGCTTAGCAGAGTTGATTTTTTTGATGATAATTGTGGAATGGTTATATGTGCTGGGATCTATGCTAAGAGCTATCTATAACATTGTATAATCCTGCAACAATTTTTATCTCCATTTTAGAGATGAGGAAACTGAGGCATAGAGAGTTCAGAGTTGCCCAACACCATACAGAAAGTAGAGTGGGAATTCCAACCCAGGTTTGCTGGAGTTCAGAGCCTACACATCTAAACACAACCCCATTCAGCAATGGTGACTGGAGGACAACACATTTGGTGAGTGAATAATTGTACAAATGAATGAATGAGTGAATGATAGAACACAAAACAGTGCCCACTAGGGCTGTCCATGTCCAACCTGAATGACCACCGTGCACTGGCCCTGATTCACTAGGGAGGAGGTGATTGTAGGGGTGTGTTGAGAATGGAGAGTAGCGTGCTCTAGTTTTAGGACACCAAGAACAGTGTAGAATTTGTGGGCCAGTGGAAATGACAGAGGACAAGCATTGAAGGTGGCGTTTTGCTTCTTCTTTTTGCCCCGGCACCGAAGGAAGGATTAGCTTCTTAAGAGCAGGGCCTGCGTGTTTCCTCACTTTCTAAGCCCATTCCTGGCAAAAAAGGGTGCTCAGGGGATGCCCACGCACTTCAGTTGTTACCTCTCAGGCCATTCATTGCACTCATCCGTGCATGGTGTGCCGGTGCTTGGTGTTGCGGTCTGCTTTTGCAGGGGGCTCCATGCCACCAGCACTCAGTGGAGGAACAGGGACCCAGCCACAGTGGGAGTGATCCCCTCTGGGCCTCAGTTCCCTCTACTATAAAATCTGGCTGTTTGAGTAGATTCTTGGAAGTCCTTCCCACTATGACATTTGTCATCCAGGCGGTGTCGGCTGGAGAGACACAATCCGGGACTTCCTGAGTGGGGCAAGGCCATTAGAACCCCGCCCTAGAGCCCTCTACCTCCAGCAGGTGACTCCTGGCACAGCTGGGAGAGTGAGCTGCTGCTCAGCCCAGACAGCAGGCCTTGGAAATGATTCAGGAATAACAAACAGGGCAGAAACATTTGCATAAGGAATCATGCAGAACAATACATGTTATTTAAACCATCTCTGGTTGGCAATAGAAGCAAAAAGCAGCTGAGATAAATCTGCAATTCAAATCAGCCTGATTTGGAGCAGAGCCTCAGCTGGTTTGGGGTGGGGGCGCTGCAGGCAGGGGGAGAGAGCATGTCATCTCCTGCCCCTTCCCAGCTCCGCTCTTCTCCCCTGCCTTTCTCCTGCTCACGCACATTTCCCCATTTCTCTCCTTCCCTCCCTTCTTCAGAGATTAATGGAAACGATTTGTCTTCTAATGTGACTACAGCTTATGAATTCTTTGTCTCACTCTAATCCTTTAAATTATCCACATAATAAAATATGTATCCAGTGATTTCAGGTCATAATTTGATCTTCTAGGGAAAGTGGGGAGGGGAGGTGAGCTGAAGCGCGCCGCTCTCCCCAGTTGCTCCTCTCCATTTGTCTTTATTTGTCATCTTTTTTTGCTTAATGATCTTCCCCTTGTCTCCGCTGGGCTCCTGTGCTCCCCGCACTTCCTTGTGCCTGGGGTCCTGGGCTTGGAAAGGGCACCACAGAACCCGGCAGGTAGGAGGCAGCCCCAGGGCTGCCAGATGAGGCCCTGCCTCCCCATGCCTGACCTGCTCCGGGCGGGGAGGGGACAGCGGGCTCGCTCCAAGCAGCCTCCAGACAGCACTGGGGCGAGTCCTCCTCCTCCGCAGCGCCCCCGTTCTGGGGGTCCAGGCTGAGGGGTGGCGCCAACTACCAAAGGTCCAAAGGGGCGTTTAAACCCTAATCTCCCAGTCTGTGGGCATTGCGGGGGTGACAGTTCAACGTTCACTACGCTGGGTGTTGCGCCTCACCTGCCATTGCTTCTGGGGAGACTCGCCATCAGCCCCCCAAGATCCCCGGTGTTGGCCGCCTTCACGGCATTTGAGGGCGGCTCCGCACCGCCTGGGAGAGGGGCTCCGCACCGCCTGGAGAGGGGCTCCGCACCGCCTGGAGAGGGGCTCCGCACCGCCTGGAGAGGGGCTCCAGGAACTGCCAAGCCCGAGGGCTGAACATGCAGCGCTCCCTCCCCAAACCCCACAGCGGTGCGAGTGGAAGTTGGGCAAGGCGCCGTGGGGCCGCAGTGTGCCCCTACGCGTCTGGGACCTGCAGGGTGTGCAGCCCGCGAGGAGGGAGAAGGGAGGAGCCCTGGGCGGAGCTCGCGGCCTTCTCGTGGCGCCTGCCTGGAAGGAAGCCTTATAATTTGCTTAAAAGCTTGGCTCTGCCCTTGTCACCATTCTGGCTGCTCACTGTGTCCTGGGCCCCAAAGTAGTCTTGCCTGTGCTCCTGTGACTGGGCATCCTGGGGAAGCTGTTTCTTCAGCATCCACCCCCGGGCCTTGCGCTGAGGGGCAGGGCGCTCACTTGCCAGGCAGGCCCCAGCCAGGGGGCCCTGAGACGGATAGGTGCTGCCCCACGGCGAGCGTGCGCAGCATCGTCCCCAGTCTCCTTGCGCAATTCCTCCATCTCGGCCGATCCGGCCCCATCCCACCTGCCATTGACATCAGCCCCAGGCTGCACGGAAGAACACTGCCTGGCTTGTGCCCAAGGGGCCTGTGGACGAAGGGCCTGTAGATGGGCCTGGGAGGCCAGGATGCGCCTGGCGCGTGGGAGGAGCTTGGGGCTCTCCAGGGCAGCCGGAAAGGCCTTGGGGCCGCGACAACCGGAATGCAGGAGCCACTGCAGCCCTGACTGTGGACTGGAGGGCTGGAGTAGGGAGGTGTCCACCACAGCGTGATTGGGTGACTGCACAGGGACAAGGCGAGGCCAGGACCAACTGCAGTCAGACTTTATCTGCAGGTCTAAAATGCGAAACTAGAAAACAGCATCTTTATATAACTCATTTAGAGTCAAAGCCTGCCCTGAGCTGAGGCTATTTATAGTCCTTTATTTATCCCGCTTGGTGTGAATATTCATGCCTGTCACTGCAGAGGTACTAACGTGCCTGATTCCAGGGCGTGGCCCAGACCTCACTAGGATGGGATGCGCCAGAGGGTTAAACACACGCCACGGTCCTCACATTTGAAGCCTTCCGAACTCTGTAACCCACCAGGCCCGGGACTTGGGATGAGGGCTTGCGGGCCTGGGATACACGTGGAAGCACTGTGTGTGTGTGTGTGTGTGTGTGTTGGGGGCTGGGGCAGAAGGGCAGGCATGATGGCCCAGAGCCTGCCTGGGTCTGCGAACGGGGGTGAGGACGCCTGGACAGGGCAGGGTGGGGCAGGAGCTCCTTACTTTTCCAGGAATGGCGATGAGTTTGGACTTAGACATTGTCCATCAGAAACTATTTAGAAAGGGACCCCTGGCTGCACTGCCCCCCTGCGCAAACAGAAGGGCCAGGTCCCAGGAAGAGCTGCTGGGGTGGTGACTGCTGAAGGACAGGTGGCTCAGGGGACTGGGTTTATGTCCTCCTCCCCTCCCCCACCGCTGCAGCCTCTCCTGTGTGGTGGGGCCACCCCGCCTGAGGGCTTCAGGGAAAACAGCTCAGGTCAGGACAGCAAGGCACTCCAGGTCCTTTGATCCCGCGTCCTGAGAAAGAGCCTGCAGAGGTGACCACAGGTGGGGGGGGGGCAGCAGCCTGAGAGGAGAAGGTTCCAGATTCCTTGAGGCTCACTTCAGACAGTAAACTCAGGCCCTGGATCTGTGACTGAGGTCCAGTGACTCTCAGGTGGTGAACTTGGCTTTTCACTCTCTGGGGGTCTTTCAGCAACCCACAGTCTCCCAAACGTGAGTGCCTATGAGAGTCACTTGGGTGCTTATTGGGGAGGTGGGTTTCTGACTCTCTGCTCAGGGACTCTGCGCAGCTGTCTGGGTGGGGCCCAGGCCTGTGGCTCTGCAGGTCACATGTTTGAAAACAGGGCTTCAGGTAACGCCCCTTTCAGAACCAGGGCGGGATTCTTCCCCACGGCCCTCTGCTGCCCACCCTGCCTCCCTGGACCGTGCCTGTGCTGGAGTGACCGTGATGGGACCGCGGCTCCTCAGAGAAGCCAGAACATGGCCGGACGCCAAATCTCATGGCCGAACGCCAAATCTCATGGCCGAGACACCAATGCCTGGTCCCCTCACAGCAAGGGAGCTCCCCAGGGGACTGCTCTTGTCTCTGGCTCCCCCAAGGGACAGGCAGTGCCTTGCTGTCCCCCAAAGAATACTCTCGAGTTGGGCTGGACATTAGCATCTTAGAGGACATCCAGGATCCCCTCCCACCCCCTGGCTTGACAGGAGGAGAAGCCGACGCGGCTCTGTGCTGTTGCTTCCCACCAGCCCTTCTCCCTCCTCCACCCCGTTCCAGGCTAAAAAAACTCTCCTTCTTGAAGACTCACACGTTTTAAATATTTGGAGACTGTTGTCATGTCACCCTGTGGTTGTTCTTAGCCCAGCAACCCGGCAATGCAGTGTGTATTTAAAGACTATTGTCCAATGCAGCCTCCCCTGCCTGCCCCCACTCAGTGGTTGCTGTGCTCGAGGTCCCCACTACCTGGCTGGTCCGGTCCGTCCCCCTCAGGGCCCTGTCGTGGATGGGGGGCTCTGGAGATGGAGTGTTCTCAGGGGAGTGGGCACGGGAAAGAGTCTCTTCCGCCAAGGGGCAGGACTGGCGCCCACCCCTGCACAGACACCGCGAGGGGCGGCCAGGGTTGCCTACGACCCTCACGTCCTCCAGGAAGTTGGAGGAACGTGGTCAATGGGTCCAGACTAAAGGCAGTGGATATGTGTGTCCTGCGCCACCTCCATGGTTACCCCGACCTTAAGTGCTGAGTTTTCTGATCCCCAAAGCAGGACATGTGTGATAAGGCAATTTTGGGTGACAATTGGGGGAGATTGTTTGAAATTGAATTTTCTGTGAAAAATCTAGGATGTGTAGTTTGGTTGTTGTTTCCACTGATGAAAATGGTATTTAATTTTAATTATGAACTAACAAATGTAATTGCCATTCATTCAACATGTTTTAGTTTAGTTTACAAACTATATTGTCATTTAATTCCCACAAGTATTAAGGCAAGTATTATTATTATTATTAATTATTATTATAGAGATTCCCATTTTACACATGAGAAAGTTGAGCTCAGAAATGTTAAGTGACTTTACCAAGGTAACGTAGTGGGCAGAACTAAGACTAAACCACCAAGTCTTGTCTTTTAGACTAGTTAAGGCTTATTTCATATTATCCCATTCTAAAACCAGAAAGATAAATTACTTCCTTACTTAACAAAACTTGTAAA